TGAGTCACTTATACGTCTGTTGCTGTTCAACCCAACTTACGTAGTAGCAAAACTACCTTTCTCCGTTCTCCAGTCAATCGTTCATGACTCGTCGAGCAGAGACAAAGAGACCATGAGGCTTTGTTCTAAAGAAGCATATCGCGGTGTTTATCGAATACGCTTTTCAGTCAAATGTATTAGATGCACGGCAATCGGTCCGGCTGAAGTATGAGGTACCACAACATAGAGTACGGACGGAAGCGAATGAACGCTTGGTACCGAGTGCAAGCAAAAGACGTTGAGGACGGTGTTGCGTCTAATAAAAAACATCTCCCCGTAGTGTTTCTGCATGATAGGGCATGATTAGCGAGAAAAGACTACCACGGCTGTTTTGACGGAACTGAAATGCCAACAGTCTTTAAGCAGCGCGCCTTCAGAGTAGCATCATGATGCAAGGAGGAAGGGCTTTCGTAGCCAAGTCGTTTGTTATCGGAAACCAACTAAGCAGATAATACTATTAGACAAGAAAGTAAACGTCTCGTATGCACATAGTTTTGTTATTAAAAACTGAACATCCTCAAGCGTCTTCTTGAAATTTCGTGGATATTCTTTGATCGAAACGCAATTGCTAGCGGACACTGCAGAGCAGTTCCAGAAGATCCGTAATAAAATTCGCCTGGGATTAAACACAGTGGGAGCCTCGAGAAGTCCACGGACTACTTGCATGCCTCATCAGTAGTATGTGCCGTTACAACGGTAGATGAGATCAATCCCAAGGTTGGTGCGCAATGGCTCTCCATGTGGTAAAAGCTTTGCTGGAAAATCGACGCCTGAAATGCATAGATTATGATGTTGTTGTCTATCGAATTGTCACATGAGGTAGTCTTTTTTTGTGCACTTACCTCGAAATCGGTTAGGTACTTCTTCAAACGGGGGTAATTATCCAAACATGTGGGTTCCAATGCGTTGAACGTATCCAACATGTCATAAAGATTAAAGTCCGGATAGTCAACCTGCCAAATAAAGTAACATGGGGTATTTTAATGAACGTAACTCACTTGTGTTGGTAATGAAAGTTGGTCCGCACTTACTTTGAAGCGAGTCACTTTTCCAAGCTACGAAACTGCGCTCGACTGAACACAGTTTCTACGGCAGTTTTACTCTTATCTGGCTGTTTGGTGGTTACCTAACGCTTTCTACACCAAAACGAGAAAGATTTCACGACTTAAGAATGGTGTTCATTGTCTTTGGAATAAAAGATGTGACTTTTTGTCGTCAACGCGTTTAACGATATTCAGTCAGCCAGCTTAGACCCTCGGGAGTGTCTCTTCGTTAGACCCTCCTGGTAAACATGGCTGGCTGGCATCCGTTTCTCGACTTATCTTCCGCACCAAAATGACCTGATGAGACTCTGCGCATGATAGTTATACCACAGGCGGTTCGCGCTGAGCATTCAATTGATCTATCTGTACCCGGTGTAACTCTGACAGTTCATAACCCAAGAAGATCACTTTGAAAGCCTTGAACATGCCCAAATGCTGGCTCATAATCAAGCGGCCACAAGTTAACAGATGAGACCCACAGTCTACGCTGAATCTAGTCTCGTGACCCTCACCACTCATAAGACACGTCCCATACACTGTTCGGCCTGTCGACACCGAACGGAAGGAATTATGCCTGGTAGCAAAACATTCGGCGGATTATGTCCCGTCATTTGTACATTTAAAAATGTCTTTAGGCAAAAAGGACGCAGTACAAGAGAGAAATACAAATAGAATAGAATACTTAAATACAGAGTGTCTTATAATACACGCAAGATTTGATTGGATGAGTAAACGTAGCCAGTCAGAGGAAGGATGATGAAATTTTTCATTATTAGTAGCCATATAAAGGAGATTGTGTTCGAGTGTTGGCATTTTTTGTTTACAATGGATGTCAGTACGCGCATTGAAATTGCGAAACTCCATTAATCCCTTGGTGAAAGTGCCACTGCTGCCCCTCGTGGTTACAAAACCAAACATGGTCTCACCCAAGGTCATTTCACCGTGGATGGCATAATCAGCAAGCACAATTGCGTGATATGGTCCCGTAAAGCTCTTTACGAGTACCCCACCCATAATCTCCATTCCCTTCATCTCTGTGTGTGGATGGGATTCTCCTCAAAGTGTCTCCTGCATCCCTTCCTCTTTGATGCTACGGTTTCCGGCGACAGTTACTTCCATATGCTGCGGACGCATGTTATCCCACAACTCAAGCAGCACAAGAAATCATCAACCGTCTTTCAACAAGATGGCGCTCCACCGCACTACTCAAACCAAGTGAGAACTTACCTCCGAGAGCAATGTTCTGATGAGAGAGTCATTGTTCGTGGATTTCCAAACTTTTGGCTCGCAAGGTCACCCGATCTCACACCTCTGGATTATTGGTTTTGGGGAATGATCAAGGCTCGCGTATATCATGAAAATAAACCGAAGAATTTGGTGGAGTTAAGGGGGACATCGGTGCCTTCAATGCATAGCTCCTTTTTCAAACCCCTTCCACTTGACAGCCCACTCACAGTGCTGGATTTATGCATCAATTTATCAGCTCCCGCCTGCAATGCGCACCTACCTACCCCACCTCCCCAAATCATCGATGAACGAAACTGCGGCGAAACTGTACGACGAGTACGCGGTTATTACAGCTGACGACGGTGATAATGATGGTGGAGTTAAGAGCAAGAATTGAAGAGGAGTGTGCGCGAGTGTCGCTTGAAGAAGTTAAACATGCTGTGTCAGTTTTTTTAAAAATAAACCTCCATAATGCACATACGCCCGCATAAAAAATAATAGGTGTTTAAATTAATGTTAAAGTGTTAAAATGGGTATTACTTTTTGCGTTTATTATGAGACACCCTGTATATTCCAGACAGATGCGAAAACAATGGAGACAATCTGAAAAACGGGAAGCCCAAAAACGGAGGTGCTCGGTGACGCTCCAGTGAAGTACCCTGCAAGCTTGAGCGGTGGTGTTTTGGTCACTACCAACTAGATGAGTACAGTACAAAAATGCGAACCTGAAAAACTGAAAACACCGGGAACTCATCCGGTTATCAGATCAAATATCTTCTGGAGGGATTTCTAATGCACCACAGCCGACAAACTCTCTACTAAACTTGACAGAAATAGGAGGTAAAACCTAAGAGTATCACTGACGCACCAACTAAAGGCCGACGTCTTTTAGTGAAACAGCATTTTTGAAAAGTGTGGGCTACTTATGGTGGGATTATGATGCCTTCATCCATGTGTAACCAACTCAGTAATATCGGTTTCAGTTACCCCTCTCTTCTAAAGGGGATGTTCTCAAGTAAGCATTCAGAGGTAGTCTTTTCTGAGTGTTCGTCTAATTAGAAAGAAGACGTCATTAGGCCTCTTTAGATACGATATTATAGACAAATCGATGAGGCAGGGTGTCAGAGTTGTCAGTAACCTTATGAGTAGTGTGGTACGTCTATAACAAACTCACCTTCTCACCAGACAGCCAGGTTCTTTTGGAGAGATAGCGGTCAAACAGATCCAAATGATTTGGTAGATCCGCGAGCAGCTGTGGTTTCAGTTTTTCCTGCAAAGCGGAAAAGGTAACACAATAGTGGAATCGGTGCATCGGGTGCGCTGGCATAAGAACAGTTGCACTGATTCTCAACTTGAGCCTAGTGTTTACTGGATGGCTGTCATCTAGACCATGACTGACGGAAAAGGCACTTGCGAACTGTTCTAGTAAAGATCCCCTCTGGACAGTTTGTAAATCGGGGTTATCATGCGCCAAGCCTTTCGTCTGATCTGACACGCTGATCAGCCTGGTTTTGTCCCTCGAGTGAAGACTGATCTCTGGTTATTGTATTCATGTGGGTTCTTGTGATGTTTCACTCTAACGGTTCTCCACAGATCTAGGACGCGGAAGGCTGGTCCAATATTGCTAAACATCAGTGGATGCATTTAGCCACCGTTACACAAAACAACGTTTTTCGGACTTTTAATTTGATATCAAAACAGTCATCCTTTCGTTTCATGTTTTGCCACCCCATTCGATGGTTTACATTTTGGGATTTTGATCCAGACACGAGGCTATATTAAGCAGCCTGCGGGTGCACGCGGGCTATTGTGCTTCTCAGATTTCCCAGGTCATGTTCAGGAATCCGAGCAAGCTCCCTGGTTATGCGTTTGACTGAGGTCATTACCTGGATGGTTGGTAGGGTCACATAGATTGTACGCTGTTGACCGGAGTTGAGTGAATGTACCGCCAGCTTCGAATCAATTCGCCAACAATGTTTATGGCATAACCGTGGTATGTCTGAACTTGTACGACCCGAATGCTTGAGGTAGCATTAATCGACCGCCTGAGAGCCTAGGCTTGCCAAGTTTTTTCTGTGTTTATATAGTGATTAAAGGTACAACACGAGAGATTCAGTTGGGTTCCAGGTGAGTCTCTCGAAAAACCAAATTTGTTTGCAAATGAGTGTATTTCGCTATTTTCGTACAATTTGGTTTCAAGTAGAAAATAAGGTTGACGGAAACTCGGGGACTGCGCCCACCTCATGACCCCCGAAGAAGGCGAAACCGTTCGTGGGCTGTCGAAGAATTTTCAACAATCTTATGAGTAGTGCAATACGAACAGTCTTGGATATTGACCTACCAAGCCAGGGTCTTAAATGCCTTCGGAACTATCAACAGCCGCACCAAGGAAAGAATGACATGGCTTTCACTCAGAACTAGACAGGCGCTTACGTTTTGTCCCTTGTCACATCGGTTTACTAGCTATGCGTGAAACAGCCCTGAACATTAAAGTACATTTAGGTGGTATGACAACATACAGAACAATGACGTTTGTCGGAGCAGTTGATTAAAGCACTCTACGGCCACTCTTCGATATGTCTCTGGATGTGTAGCTTGGAAGCGCACGCTGTACGTAGTCAGAGTAAAGTTGGCACTTGAAACTGACAGCTGGACATATACTGAAGTCCACGCTCACTCGCATACCAATAGTCAACAGCCGGTGTACATTTTTATGGTGAATAGTTTTCACTAAAAAACGTTCAGATGTAACACCCTTTCCGTGCCTGGCTACCGTGTCACCTGAGGGAGCCATGAGGGCTGAGATACTGCTAGGTTGTCCAAGCCTGAACAGGGGAAGTCGAGAGGCAGGGGCCGGGTTCGAACCACGGACCTTCCGGTCAGTAAATTCGTGCCATCTCGCCCCAAGTTTTCACTGACTTAGGGCTTGAAAATTAAAGGGAAAAAAAGCGTTCAGCTGTAGCACCCTTCTGGCGCCTAGCTGCCATGCCACCCGAAGGAAGCACGAGGGCTGGGATACTGCCAGGTTGCCCAAGCCTAGACAGGGGAAGTCGAGATGCAGAGGCCGGGTTCGAACCACGGACCTTCCGGTCAGTAAATTCGCGCTCTAACCACTTGGGCCGTCTCGCCCCTACCTCGTTTACTGCGGTACCATTTTTCTGTTTTTCGTCGATTGTTGGTGATGTGACGGGCTTTAGCCATTCTGATTTGAGATTTCATCCAATGAGTAAAGTCAGTTTACTCTGAGAAGTCGATGAGCACCATGTGTTTGGAATCATCATCAGTGATCACGTGGTCGTGCTGAATGGCACCTCAAGTGACGATTTCTTCGTGGGAAGTTCCACTCATCTTGTGAAGTTTCTCTTCCCCCAAGCTACTTATAGGTTGTTGATAGTGTGGGGAGAATTGAGAAGTTTGGTTGAGCTCTCCTTTTGTAAGGTAGCTCACCCAGGCTGGAAATTCGAGAAGTCGCACTGTACGCGAGTTAATCATCCCGCCATTTAGCCGCTCGGGGACAAACTGTGGAGTGGCCGTAAAGTTCGAAACTTTCTGCATTCCGTTAGTTAGTTTTGCAATGCTACTTCCCAGCTTTTCAGCACACAACGGCTTCATTTGTGGAACGGACTCTCAATCAATTAGTGTTGGTGACTCACAATTTTACGGGGTTTTATCTTTGGAATATTCCAATAGCTGAAAATTCCAAATATTTTGAGGTCGAGAGCGGCGAAAAGTGTGCATAAGAAGCCTCTGGTTAAATACCTGATTGAAAAATTAAAGGAAGTTGGCGTCATACAAACTACGTTTTCAGCTTATGTCGTGGGCCATAAACAGAACAGAACCGAAGGTTAGTTGCATCACAATGCCGGAAAATTTTTTGCTGGTGAAGAGATGGGGTAATTTATGAACGCGTGACAAACAAATGGACATGACTTACAAACTCCGGACCGTAAACTGCACGCAAGTAAGTCCAACGCAAATCGTCCACGGTCCCGTTCAGCATGGATAAGGTGGCTCGTTCCTTTGGGTTTGTGCCGCCTGTAAGAACAAATGTGGATTGATTCGGATCGATTTGTCGGAACAGGATGAATAATTCAAGCAGCTGCTGAGCTTTACCACGCTATTGCATTTCTGAGCTTCACTCCACCATGTTGGTACTGACTAATGTAAATGAGTATTGCCATATCAGATTATAAGCAAGAATCGATTACTGACCCGGATTCAAGTTATTGGAAGGGAGCACTCTAGTGGCATCTCTTTTTTTACAGGAGTTCATGACTACCCGCTTTTTTCCAGAAGCAGCTTGAGAGGGTGAGTCCTCTTTGTTGGGCCATAAGTCAGGAGAGGTGGGAAAATCTTATTGTGGACATTGCGTAAAGAACCTGTCCAATGCATGGATGACAGACCACAGTGCAACGTGAATCGCAGATGGACCAATCAAATGACAAGGATGCTGTCATCTAGTTTTCGAGGTGAAGTCAAGGTAGCAGCTACTCAGGTGGCAACACACACTTGTCTGCAAATTAATTATGACTTAACAAGGCACCTTATTTAATTTTGTCTGAAACACTTTTTTATGCTATCCTTCGCCCGGACATGCTGAAGAGGGTCGACTTTATGTTTTATTTCACGAGATATCGAGGTCTAATTCAATTGATATTACAAGGTACTTATGAGCTTGTGATTTGGCGTTCAAGCAGACCATAACGTAGCTTCGTGGAATGCGCCTCACTGATTATCCCCAAGGATGGTGAAACCGACAGCTGATTGTCGGAGAATTTGCAGCAACCCTATCAGTAGTGCGCTATGTTAAGAAAATATCGGACACCCTGTCGGGTCTGTTTATAGGCATTATATCCTAAGATGCTGTGATTCCTACACGGAATAAGCACCCTTAAAAACGATCGAGCCTTTCGTTTTTCGTAAATGTTCATCTGAGTCTAGTTAGACTCAGTCGACACGTGATGAGGTCTCAAATGTGAGGCAGCAAAATCAACCTCGGGCACATGGTACACTGATAGGTATTCGTTCTGTCCCCGTAAAATAGTTTATGATCTCCAGCTTGACGGAGTTTCCGTTCTGACAGGAGTCCTTTGGAGGTTAGCTTAAGCTGGAGTACCGCTTACTGGTTGTTTGCCAGTTTGGTCATGAAGACATTCCTAGACAGACAGTTGGGTATCGATCTCATGTCAACCGATGGTCAAGTTTGAACGCTGTTTAGACATAGGCAGTTTCGTTCACCAAAAGGAAATAAGAGCATGGTATCCAAACCAAAGACCTAAAAGTTCACTGACGCATATAGACGCGTTTCAGATACATATTTTAGGTGATGGTCTTGTGACAGCTTTGCTGCTGGCTACCTGACTGAGCCATCGTCGTTGAGATTCCCATCTGAGGAGACGGCGGTCCTCAAAACGAGTGAGCATACGTATCAGGTCTTTCATACACCACTGCTAGGTCCTGGATTGCTTACATTTGGCTGGCTTCCATCATTCACGTGACTAGACAAAAAGACTGCTCAGGGTAGAATATCTTCCACACACAAGCTAATTGCGTGCAATCAGTGGTCAATTGTGGGTAAAAAAAACCCGTGTTTTCCGTACTGTTCAGAGAACTCATCCAGGGACGCTGAAAACACCGACGTTTCGCGAAAAAAGATTAGGCTTGCTGCGGCTAATCAGTCGAGTTTACATTTGACAATGTTCTGATTTAGTAAAAAAATCATTCAGCTGTAACACCCTTTCGGTGCCTAGCTGCCATGATACCCGAAGGAAGCACGAGGGCTGGATACTGCCAGGTCGCCCAAACCTAGGCAGGGGAAATCGAGAGGTAGAGGTGGGGCTCAAACCACAGACCTTCCGGTCAGTAAATTCGCGCTCTAACCACTTGAGCCATCTCGCCCCCATAGCTCATTTAGTGAAATACACTCACTTGCAAAGAACAAATTTAGTTTTGCAAGAGACATACCTGGAACCCAGCTGAATCTCTCGTTTGCGATGTTTTTAGGCAACTGAATGTACTGCACCAGGCAGCCTCATGTTTCAGTTGCTACGATCTCCGAGATATCGTGATGTGTGTATAGACGTAATGTACTAATCATAGGGTTGCTGAAAACTCTTCGATAGCCCTCGACATCACATCAGTGGAGACATCACAAACAAGTGATTCGGCTGAGTTCTAGGTGAGTCTCTCTCAAAACCAAATTTGTTTGCAAATGAGTGTATTTCGCTATTCCGCTGGCGAGTAAGTAGGGGGCAACAATTTAAACGGGTCAAAGAGTTCCAAGTCCTGATATATGTTAACGGTCGAAAACGATCGTGGGCTGTCGAAGAGTTTTCAGCAAGCTCGTGAGTAGTGCATTACGTCCACGACTTTAACTCGGGGAATAACATGTTTGATTTTATCACTTGTATATATGAAACAGCAATCAAGTGGAAGACCTGAAGACATTCAGAGCGTCTGAACATAAGAAGCAGTTACAAACTCCATCCGCTCCGCGCAGGGAAGTTCATCATCCGACCATCATTCAACGCGGTAGTTGGCAAGGTATATTCCATGTGGGCATAAGACAATCTGACCACGTGAACTCGCTGATAATTTGCGATATCATCCATTGCTCAACATAGTTGATTTTTACCGACCTGATTCGCATGTGATTTCATTCTACCAAAAGCACTGTTAGTTTCAACATCGCGATGCATTTACACAACCTGGCACGCTTGTTATCCATTAAACCTACGCTTGTGTTTATTTTGATGGAATTTCGGTGATAAACATTGTATTTGTTGCTTCACGTGATCCATCAGTCGGTATTTCTGCGGCACGAGAATGCCAGTGTGAGTGAGCGTGGGTGGACTTCGGCCGTAAGACATTTTTTAGGTTGAGACTGTCTGAAAAGGCTGACAAAGGAGTATAGTTATACGAAGCACGACACAAACACAGTGGTCAGAGCGCAGACTGAGTGACCGGAAGGTCCGGGGTTCGAACCTGACCTTTGCTCCTCGACTTCCCCCGTCTAGGCTTGGGCGACTTGGCAGTATCCCAACCCTTATGTTTCTTTCTGGTGGCATGGCAACAAGGCACCGAAACGGTGTTACAACTGAGTGATATATGTATTATTAGTATTAAATCGGCAAAGTTGATACGTGTTGAAGTCCCGACAGCCTTTCTCTATCGTAAACGCAAGACGTTACAAATTCATCCTTTTGCCAGAATGGTATTTCAAACTGTCTTATAGCACTGCAGAGCGACTGTTACACATGTCACCCACCGGTTTCCTTGTAGCCGCGGTAAAAAGTATGTCGACAGAATGGAACACAGTCTCTTTCTTAAAGAATGACTTCAAGCTTTCAACCTGGTTGCACGACTGCTGGCTAGTAANTTATCACTTGTATATATAAAACAGCAATCAAGTGGAAGACCTGAAGACATTCAGAGCGTCTGAACATAAGAAGCAGTTACAAACTCCATCCGCTCCGCGCAGGGAAGTTCATCATCCGACCATCATTCAACGCGGTAGTTGGCAAGGTATATTCCATGTGGGCATAAGACAATCTGACCACGTGAACTCGCTGATAATTTGCGATATCATCCATTGCTCAACATAGTTGATTTTTACCGACCTGATTTGCATGTGATTTCATTCTACCAAAAGCACTGTTAGTTTCAACATCGCGATGCATTTACACAACCTGGCACGCTTGTTATCCATTAAACCTACGCTTGTGTTTATTTTGATGGAATTTCGGTGATAAACATTGTATTTGTTGCTTCACGTGATCCATCAGTCGGTATTTCTGCGGCACGAGAATGCCAGTGTGAGTGAGCGTGGGTGGACTTCGGCCGTAAGACATTTTTTAGGTTGAGACTGTCTGAAAAGGCTGACAAAGGAGTATAGTTATACGAAGCACGACACAAACACAGTGGTCAGAGCGCAGACTGAGTGACCGGAAGGTCCGGGGTTCGAACCTGACCTTTGCTCCTCGACTTCCCCCGTCTAGGCTTGGGCGACTTGGCAGTATCCCAACCCTTATGTTTCTTTCTGGTGGCATGGCAACAAGGCACCGAAACGGTGTTACAACTGAGTGATATATGTATTATTAGTATTAAATCGGCAAAGTTGATACGTGTTGAAGTCCCGACAGCCTTTCTCTATCGTAAACGCAAGACGTTACAAATTCATCCTTTTGCCAGAATGGTATTTCAAACTGTCTTATAGCACTGCAGAGCGACTGTTACACATGTCACCCACCGGTTTCCTTGTAGCCGCGGTAAAAAGTATGTCGACAGAATGGAACACAGTCTCTTTCTTAAAGAATGACTTCAAGCTTTCAACCTGGTTGCACGACTGCTGGCTAGTAAGTAGGGGGCAACAATTTAAACGGGTCAAAGAGTTCCAAGTCCAGATATATGTTAACGGTCGAAAACGATCGTGGGCTGTCGAAGAGTTTTCAGCAACCTTGTGAGTAGTTTCCTTTATGCAAATATACTGTCATATCTCAAATATCGTGCCAGCTGAATCATGAGGCGGCCTGTGTGCAGCACATTCAGCTGGAGAACATCATAAACGAGAGATTCAATTGGGTCTCTCGTGAAAAGCAAGTTGATTTGCAAATCAGTGTATTTCTCGAAAACCTGGTGGTCTGTTCATTGAAAGGAACCTACTCACAAGGTTCTGGAATCGCACCGATAGCCCACGACCTGTTTCAGTGTCCTCAAATGACAGAAGCCCCCGAGTTTCAGAAACCTCACGTTCTACATGAACCCAAATTGTATGAAATTTACAATCCACACTGATTGGCAAACGAATTTGGTTTAAAAGGAAGAATCAACTGAATCCCAGCTGAATCTGTGATATTCTTCAACTGATCGTGCTGCACAAGGACCACGATATTCAAGATATGGCAGTACCTTTTCCTGAGAGGAACTGGAAACCCTTCGACAGCTTACAACCAGCTTCACTCTTGAGTAACCCGTCTTCGAATTTGATGGGCATACATCTGTTATTAGACAACTTCCATGCGAGTGAGTTTGGATTTCTCGTGTCGTCGAAAGTGAACGCGTCGCTAGCCTGTCGATGAAGCTGTTTGATATTCATCACCAACCGTCTTCTAGGTGTTTTTCTTATCTAGCCGGAGTGAAATAGGAACAAAGGTGACTGGCGACGGGGATGTACCCGTGTTGGACCTCATTAGGAAGTACTGGTTGCCGAGAACTCTCGAGGAACAGTGTGGCATTCCATGACACCTCGTTCTGTCCTCTTACTCGCATTCAGTATTACGATTGTAAGCAGTTCTAACAAATTATTTCGCATGCGATCCCAAGGCTCAGTCGCCAGCTGGGTTAGGACACCTCTTGTCTGGATCCATCAACATGACAGATTGACACATCAAATATCTGGAGACGTTTCATCCTGTGGGACTTCCCGGAAGGGTAGTGTGTATGAAGATATTTGGTCATCCCCCGCCCCACAAATGATACCACTGGAGCATTTTTGAGGGAGGCGCTCAGAACTGCATGTCATAAAGTAGGCTTAGTGGCCTTTCCAAGATTCTATACACACTGACAGAACCAGTGTGGTCAACCAAATGATAGAAGTAAACACACTGTTCTACTATGTTAAACCAACCTACAATTCGTCAGTCAGTGCTATTGTTCACCGCTTATCGTGTTTGTACTCCAAAAGCCAATGGGCTTTTCATCACGCAGTCTTAGAAGCTACGACTAAAATGTCAACTTACCACAAAGACAGGACGATGGGGTGTAAGTGCACCACACTGAATCCGTCATACAATATACTCCAACCAGTCCAGCGATAAATCGAACTGACTGCTAGCTAAATAGGCATGCGGACTAAACACATCATAGAGGTCATTAGCAGAGAACGTAGCAAATCAACAAATTCCTTCACCGAACGCGTTTCCAGACCAACTCTGATGAAAAATGCAATGAAAGCTACAGTGCACTGTAGCGCCACCTGGTGACACAGTCCAAAATACAACCGGTTGCATACTTACCTTGTTCCACCTAGCAACGGCACTTAGTGTGTTAAGCAGAGTAGAAACTGATGGGCGAGATGGCTCAGTGGTGGTTAGAGCGCGAATTTACTGACCGGATGGTCCGTGGTTCACAACTGACCGCTGCCTCTCGACTTCCTCCGTCTAGGCTTGAGCAACCTGGCAGTATCCCAGCCCTCGTGCTTCCTTCGTGTAGCACGGCAGCTAGGCACCGAGAGGATGTTACGGCCGAAAGTGTACAAACTGGCCTATTTTCTAGGGTTTAGTGTGCGCTGAGTGAGTTTCTCCCCAGTGACCAGGTACTAATGCTGGTCAACGTGAATTGCAGCTGAAAATCCTCACAAAGAACGCTATCTAACCAGAGAAACCGCATCATCGATAGCGTAAGATCTGTGCCGTCCATGGTTGTAGGTGAACTGGAACGCTGCCAGAGCGCCCATATCCAGACAGGAAGGGTCCTCAACCAAACCCCTTAACTCAAAAGCCTGACCGCGGTGTTTGGCCGGAAACGCAGGTGTATTACCACTTTTATAGAACAAATCCCCACATATTTTCGCCACCTCCGAAGTCGAGGACCCATAGACTGTGTTGGTTAGATCACTGACCAACCTGGAATAAGAGGCTCTGCGAGGGTCGCACGGACAACCCCCCTCAGTATGGCTGAATGGGTCGTGGAAGAACATAAAGCGTCACATCACCGTGAGGTCCAGTCTCACTCTGGCGGTACCCGAGATTAGTACTGCCAAGAAATTACCCAAGGATTCTAGCCACGTTTTATTACAGAATTGAACAATATGCAGTTCTAAATGAGTTTTCTTCCTGCTATCAATCTCCCAACGATAGAATATTTCGCAATCTGCGTGCTAGCCATTTGGGCTGGGACATTTTGTTTGTCACCCAGGTAAGGTCGACAGCCCAGATCGCACCACTTGAATTTTCAGGCTATGTTGTCTTCATATTCGTCCATTTCTGTGGCAGAAAGACCAGATTTACAACATCAACCAATCCGGGTGTGAACCCATTTGTTTGATATCATGATAGCTGGCACAGAATCTCAGCAGAAAAACATGACGCTGATTCTGGAAGATACCGAAAAGCGCGTGACTGTTTGATTGGTTCGCCACACAAAACAATGCGTGATTGGACGAATAGAGATGATGTAATCGAACAGGGTTCGGGGTCTTTCCAATCAGCTGATTTTTCGGTTTGACTTGTGAAGGATCATCTAAAATGCTGCACTCTGTCCTTTCGTGATGCATGGAAGTGACTTACTTATCTTGATCTCTTGTCTCCCAAATAAGCGATTTCAAACGAATAGTGAACCCATACGTCGAGAAGAGTCATCCTTCAAGGCTTTCGTGGACAGGATCTTTGCCGAAATTGTTTGAAACGGAGAGCGTCGCCATTAATTGATAGGATCAGTCTGCACTGCCCGAAGAATGATTCGTTCGAACCGTACAAAATCTCAATCATTTAAGCTGAGAATACTCGACATACGGTCAAAACGAAGATCGGACCTATTCACCGAACTAACCGTGCGCTGAGGTTTGGTGGACCACTACTGCTGAAACCGCAGTTCTAGCCGATTCTTGTCACTCCGAATGGATCAGCACAAAAGTACTACTCTCATCTACACGTGATTTTGATTATTGTGGAAGACTGGACTGAATTCCAGCTAAATTGCCCATTCCCGGTTGAATGTGCTTCACAAAGACAACCTCATGTTTTGAAGGGTAAGATGATCAAGATATCGCAGTAGATTTTCTCCACGGAACACACTGAAAAAATCGTTCAGCTGTGATACCCCTTCGGTGCCTAGCTGCCATGCTGCCCGAAGGAAGCACAAGGGCTGGGATACTGCCAGGTTGACCAAGCCTAGACAGGAGAAGTCGAGAGGCAGAGGTCGAGTTCGACAGACCGACCTTCCGGTTAGTAAATTTGCGCTCTAACACACCACTTACACAACAGAGACTCATCGGAAATTCGATTGAGTCGTCCTCAGGGCAAACCACTTACAAAACAGAGACTCATCGGAAATTCGATTGAGTCGTCCTTCCTCAGGGCAAACTTAGTTTGCACGCGAGTATATTTCATTAATTTTGTACGATTTATTTTTAAGTGGACCATAACGCTCATGGAAATTGGTGGATTTTTCCTAACTGCTCAGTGTTGAAAACGGCGAAACCGGTAGAGGTCTGTCAGAGAATTCTTAACAACCTTGTGAGTAATTTTTTCACGAAGGAAACTAATCACGAGGTTGCTGAAATCTCTTTGACAGCCCAAGAATGGTTTCGCCCGGGGCTCATCAGTTAGGCGCAGTCGCCGAGCTTCCGTCATGCTTATGTTCTACTTTAACCCAAATTGGACAGTTTCCGGGAAATACACTCATTTTCAAATCACTTTGATTTTGTAGTTTATCTCCTTCGGGGACAACAATGTTGATTCAATTGAAAAATGGCTATGGTCGATTTGCGTCAGAACAAATATTTTCGAAGATTTGGTGACTTTCTTAATCTAGAATAAAGGGCTTCTCGGAATCCGCTCAAATTCGCTTGCGTCTCAGGTTTCCTGACGAGTCCACTCGAGGTCGCGCTTGCCAGACTTCTGCAAAATGTTGCCTCAACTCGTTCGACGATTCAAGACACCATGCCTGTTTCCTGTGACGCATCATTGAAACTCTTTTCTTTAAGGTCCACATGGACAAGATTTTTTAAATTTGCTATTCATATCTTTGTGTGAGAATGCCGTAAGCTTTGATATTCCACTCGTGATACGAAGCTCTCAGCTCGGTCGTTGGAAAAAAGCGGAACGTAAGGGGTTGTCATGAATTAAAAGACCGAAGACAATGTTCGCCCTATTACGCTTTTGGATCTTTTCCAGTTAAGCCCCGCCACTAATGCAAAATGTGCATGTGCGAAAAGTTAAGCCCCGCCCCACCTTTTGTCAGCTCCAGTTCAATGTACGCACACAACCTTGACCTATTTTTGATGAAAACACATTTCCGTATCCGCATATAGGCTCGCTTTGTGCAAAAATTTTCTCCGTTCGGACGTAAAACCGCAAATGAACTTTCGGACGCTTTCAACTCTCGTTCATGAAAAGGAGACGCCAAGACGTATTTTGTAAAGCCACGAAGTGATCCATCAACAACGTTTATGCAACAATGGCCACCAAATGACACTTTCAACTGCTTATGAATGTTTCTGCCCGACAGTGTCGTCAAGAAATAGGTTTTCGAAAAGGAACTTGGCTGGAACGGTCAAGGACGAAGTTTAGGAGAGTAATTCTTTTCATTAATTGCTGGTCCAAAAGTTTGGAAAAAAAAATCAAATTCTGCTCAGAGGAATTATCTATTAGCCAAACGACCGCTGTTGACTGGAAAAACTCTCTTCGCGAAGTTTGCGCCTGGCGACTTTTGCATTTTGCGACTTTTGGATTAACAAACAAAGAAACAAGGAACACCTTGGAGGCAAATCCATAGAGGTCATGAGCCGGGACTCGAAAGGATAAAGGCCACGACAGCAGGGGATACCAAGCTCAAAGGTCACGTGGGCATCGTCGAATGGGGATCAAGAACATCGGAGCAACCAATGGAACCGCCCAACCGGAGACGCAACACCGTCCTCAACGTCTTTTGCACTCGGTTACCAAGCGTTCATTCGCTTCCGTCCGTACTCTATGTTGTGGTACCTCATACTTCAGCCGGACCGATTGCCGTGCATCTATCACATTTGACTGAAAAGCGTATTCGATAAACACCGCGATATGCTTCTTTAGAACAAGGC